AAAAGATGAAGGGTCAACAAAGAAACAGCAAACTCCCAGTGAGATGGATTGACACAGTGACTGCAGCAATGGGCTTTAGTTTGTCAGAGACAATGAAGATGGCACAGGCTAGGCCAGAGTTCACGTCAGCTGGTCACTGGGTCGCTATGCATCATATTTGACTTGACAGCACCTAACAAGAACTGTAACCCAGCCAAGGCTCACAGTAACCCTCCAGCAGGTTTCCCAGGCTGTAAATCTTAATGGAAGCAGAATTCCTGTATTTCATCTCTCAGAGTGACTGAAGAATTGAACCACTAACCTGTTAGCAGTGGAACACATGTCCTATGCCACCACAGTGCCTTTCTCTAGCAGTAGTATTGTTTCATTGACTTTTTATATTTTTCTGTGATTCCAGTTCTATTTTTCGGAAACAAAACCAAAGATAAGAGGGTGCCTTCATCAGAATTGTTGATTTCGACATTGGCTCCTTGGAGAAATCTGTTCTTATTATCTTGGAGGAGCTTTGGGGTCTCTCTTTGAAGATAATACTTTTAAAGACAACTTCTTAAAAAACTAAGTTTCTCTGAAAATTCTAGGCTGTTACTATTGTATGCCATCAATTCAGAACATCTAAACAGAACCCTGCCACCTTCTGCACCAGGCTCAGAATTGCCGCTCTGTCTGTGCTCATTGTTACAACCACAGCTTCAGTCCTTTTCCTTGAGGCCTTCTTTGACTCTGTCCTTCACTAGGAAGCATAATGCCCTTCCCTCAGGACATTGATAGAAGCCCTGATAAGTACATGAAATGAAATCTCACCCTGCATACTTTCAGAAAGCATTCCAGCTAGATTTGTTTGTTCTTTTGGCAATCTAGAATTTCATTCAGTGTTGGTATAGTCAATTTTTTTTTTGCGAATACCATGATTCAAAGACATCAATTCTGATCTGCTCTTCCTTACTCATTGTCCAACAACCACATGTATATGCACTTGAGCCAGGTGCACCTTAGTCTTTAGAGTGACATCTTTGCTCCTAACACTTTAAAGAAGTCCTTTGCTGCATATTTACTCAATGAAATATGTCATCTGCTTTCTTGACAGATACTTCCATCAGTGTTGACCATGGATTCAAATAAAATAGGTTTTGGACCTTGTTGTTGTTATGTACCATAGAGTCAGAACCAATCCATAGCTGATCCTCTGCCGAGTTTTCAGAGGCAGTTAATCCCACAGGAGGAGACTGCCCATCCTTCTCCCACAGAGCAACTGGTGGCCTCGAACTGGGTGCCTTTGGGATTGCAGTGCAGCTTCTTGCCACTAGGCCTCAGGGCCCTAGAGAGAGGATTGTTGTTCTTGGAGTCCCTCTCTCTAAAAATATGCAAATGCCACATGCAGTATTTGTGGTCTATCTTCTCCAGGTATCACAAGAAGTAGCAAAGGTATAATTGCTAGCCCCTCCTAAGTTCAGTGGCCACCGTCATGTCAGAGAGCTATCAGTATAGAGCATCGAGTCCGGTATTTCACAAATTCCAACACTAAGAGAGAGTGACCAAGGTAGCAGACAGCTCTGCTCTGCTGTAGCATCCTCAGCATGCTGTTTTAAAGAAGAGTTCTTCACAAGCATCAGCGAAAACACCTCTTCTAAATCGATATCCCATAAAAAGGAGAGTTCAAAAAGAGTGTTCTGCTGTGTAGATTCAGCCTTAGGAACTGAAGTTTTAAGAATAAATACTATAGAAGGTGCAGCCAGAACAGCCCCTGTGGACTAATCTGTCTATACTCTCTGAGGAGATCCTGGGAGAAGGGCTGGCCCTCACCTAGGCAGGTGTGGAGAAGGGCTGCTGACACCACTTGGTGAAATTACCTCCTCAGAGCTGCGACCATTCATCACAGAGGCAGTGTTGTGATTCATTCTCAGTCATTCCAGGGTGACCAGCCTCTCTAGCTGCTTGGGGCAAAGGGCTTTCCTGAGACGGAAACGCACAGTGCTAACCCTGGACATTCAGAGGATGGAATGTTTAGAGCTGCACTGTGCCTCCCGCTCCCATTTGCCCAGCATTGGTGAGTCTACACACATCCTCTGCCCTACTCTGAATCATCCTCAACACTTCTGAGGCTTATTGCTTAATATACTTTGGACATGTTGTAAGGAGAGACCGGTCCTTGGAGAAGGACATCATGCCTGGGAAGGTGGAGGGACAGCGCAGGAGGGGAAAACCCTCTATGAGGTGGATTGATTCAGTGACTGGGGTAATCGGGATGGGAGTGTCAGAGACAGTGCGATTGGCACAGGACAGAGCAGAGTTTAGGGCTGTTGTACATAGGGTCGCTATGAGTCGCAAGCGACTCGACGGCACACATAACAACAGCAACAATGATTGAGAAGTCCTGGTGGTGTAGTCTATAAAGAATTGCATGACTCATCTCTGTGGTGGTGCAAATCCACCAGCAGCTTCTTGGGAGAAAGATGGACATTCTCCTCTCCCATGTGATTTACAACATTAGAAACCAATGGAGGTCATCTATGAGTCCCTTCTAATTTGACAGAAATTCTGTTTTATTTCATTCTTAAATACAATAATAGGGACATAACTGAGATACCATCTAAGACATAGATTGATCCCAAAGAATTTTAAAATGTCTGCATAGCTTGACATTATCTAAGCCAAATTTCAAGATGATTGGGTTTTTCTTCCAGAAATGTTGGGGCAAGTAGCTGTATGTTGTCATCATGTGTCATCGAATCTGAACCATCTCATAGTTGACCCTCCAGAAGGTTTTCAGAGGCAATAAATCACACAGGAGGAGATTGCCCACCCTTCTCCCACGGAACAGTTGGTGGATGGATTCAAACCACATACCTTTTGGATCGCAGGGGCGCTTCTAACCACTAAACCACGAGAGCGCCGTATATACTATCTGTATAGGGATCTGAACGAGTCTTTACCCGAAACCCATTTGTTGCCCTCTTTATTTCTATTTTCTAAAGTATCGATTTAAGAAAACAAATAGCAAGCCCAATTGCCCTAATTACTATACTCCTCAGACACCATGATTAAGTGTCCTCCCCGTGGCGGGGAAGGATAGGCCCTCATACGAAGCTGCTCAAACTTAATGTGCACATAAGCTCCCCAGGATCTTGTTAAAATACAGGCCTGCAGCTGTAATAAGCTCACACATGGTGTGCTTTTTTGCTGGCCCAGCCTGAGTGGGGAGAATCTATATGAGAGTTCTCACCCTCTGGTTCCCCCTTATATCGAGGGAAGGAGGAGGACCCAGGGCCACATTGGGAGGGAGCCAAATTCTCCCTTTGCCAAAAGTCTTATCAACAGCCGAATGCACACTGTCGGAGAATTAAGTTCAAGACCTAGAGACAAGCCCTTCTGTCACCAGTCTGAGATTCCCTCTGGCAAGACAAGCCAAGGTGATTTACTCAGAACGTGACCATTTTGTGGCTTCCACAGTTACCTGAAGGTCCCTGTTGTGCGCGTTATATACCAATGGATTATAACTGACTCTTCAGTGAGTTTTCAGAGGTCATAAATCTCATGGGAGATGATTGCCCATCTTTCACCCATGGAGAAGCTGGTGGATTTGAACCATACACCTTGAGGTTGGCAGCACAGCTCCTTACCACTAGGCCATGAAAAGTAAATGGTTTGCTCTCAGCTGCTAACCTAAGGTTTGGCAGTTTAAGCCCACTGCGGGCACCATGGAAGAAAAGTCCTGGCTTTTCCCTTCATTAAGATAACAACCACAGATAACCTTTTTCATACACCAATTGTATTCTGTAACGTGGAGTCACCCTGAGTCAGAATTGACTTGATAGCAAGTAATACCAATAAGCAGAGTTCTGTCTCAGAGGTCCTGAAAGGGATACAGAGTGCTCCTTACAGAAGGGCAGACTTGCCATGGTACACAATCTGAATTTTAACATTGGATGAGAGATGTTCTCTCACTCTGCTGGCTTTCGTAGACACAAATAATTTCTCTTAAAGTAAATCTTCACTCTTGGAAGAGCCATCTCAGCCCCGGGTCTTGTCCCACACCAGCTTACCTACCTCCCTTCCCCGTCTTGGATTCACAGTGCTACAAGCTGAGCGTATACTGCAAATACAGGGAAAGAGTAAGCTTTTTCTCTTTGATAAATGCTAAAGACAGTTTTCTCCTCTCGCAAAGCAATAGACGTTCATGATTGTTACTTTAACACAAAGTGCCGAGGATTATCACTCCCTGCGCAGCGCGGTAAGAGCAGGATGCGTGCGGGAATCGTGCCTCAGGTGGATTGTGCTTTATGTAATCACCACTGGGAGCTGCTGTTTCTCATTTTCATGAATCTAAGTCATAAAATTTAATTCCTGAAAAGCGAGCCCCATCACTCCGCCCGCTCCCAGCCCAAGTCTCGTGTCCAAGGAAGAAACCACTTTGAAAAAAGAAAGGATGTCATAGGAGCTCTGGTGGCTTAGTGGTAAGGAATTGTGCTGCCAACACAAAAGTACACAGTTCAAATCTGCTAGCTGCTCTGTGACAGATGGGCAATGTCCTCCCATGAAATTTACTACCTCTGAAAACTCCCCGGAGGGTCAGCTATGGGTTGGTTCTGACTCAATAATAAACAATAGCAATGGTATAGGTTTTCTACACAAATGTTAACATTTTCCCATAGTTGAGGCCATTCCTTAAAATCTACCAAGCTTATGAAAGACAAATATACAGTTTCAAGAGAAGTTAAAGCAGAAACACAAGTACTTGTTGAAAGAGAAAAAGGAGGGGAGGGGCAGATCATGTCTATTAGGGAGCATTTTTCCAGAACATTTCCAAAGGGTATTCTCAATTTGAGAAAAGCTTGAGACATCTAATAGTCAGAGTCATCTATCACTTGCTTTTTGATAGCCATTTGCGTTTCTGAGAAAGCAAGATAGGTATTCAGCCCTACCCGTCACTCCCTCCCACTCGGATGGATTTGATGTTCATGTTGAGCATGAAAAGTTGATGTGAATTAAACTGGCTGTTTCAGGGGAACCCAGCGCACCTAAGCTCGAAGGGCAGATGGGAGAGGATGGAAACTCTATCAAGGTGAACCTGATCAAGCAGGATGACGGTGGCTCCCCCATCAGACACTACCTGGTCAAGTACCGCGCAGTGAGTGCCTCCCCTAGCCTTCACCCTCAGCCCTGTTCCTGAGACACCCTTCGTGTGGGGAAGCAGCGGAGCAAAGGCAGGGCAGGGCCAGGACAGTCTTCCTCTGCATCTGTACATGTGGTTCTTGGCCTATAGCGGCTCAGTGTGTCTTCACTTCATTTTAAAACCATTGAAATGATGGTGGTAGTAACAAACTGAAGTCATAATTGAGTTTTCCTATGTCTTAAAGCTTTCTACCAATCTCCGTGGTGACGATCTAGCATTTTTTTTTGGTACGCTCAGCCTTCAGCCAGTGAGAACTACCACCACTCTTGAAGTTCTGGTCCTGCCTCCGGATGAGCATGACCCTAAGCCGTCTCTTTCCTATCTAGCTGCCTATCTGCGTGTTTCTCCACACCCTCTCTCATCCATCACCCTCAAATTGAGAATTACTCTCTCTTTGTGGGGTTTGAGAATGACACCTGGTCATTGCCCACACCCTCAACTGCTCAGAGATTTAGAGTAGGTATCTGAGAGCGGGCAATCATCGAAAAGTTCTTCATAGTTAGAAAGTCATGAACCACAGAGTGGTTTTCTTTCTTTGAATAGCCACACACACAAAAAAAACCAGGCTTTTCCTGGAGAGTTGACTTCCTCTGTCCTGCCTTTTGGTCATCCTGGAGTAACATGTGAGTTGTTAACTGGTTAGTTAAGTTTACTGAACAGTAGGACGACATTGGTGGCCACCAGGAATGCTTCTCAGCTGGTGACAGTGCTTGTCAATCCACTCGACTCTTTTTCTCACTTAATTGTTAAGTAAGGTATGGGATTACCAGAAAAGGAAAAGCCTCAGGTGTTCAATAAATTATAGATTTTTATTTTTTCATAAAACCTCTGGAATCAGCACTGTGTTCCCATGCCAGGGACATACATTTTGGGAGTGGAATGTTGCTCTCACTAACAACGTGCTGAAATATATCTAGCAACATATTTGTATTATCCCTTTCTAGAATAACCTTTATGCACCTATGCCCAGGAGATTTGGCACTGCTTAATTATGGAACACTGAGAGGTTGACCTGGAGGTGCACTGACATCTGGTGTTGTTTGTATTTTCCAATGCACACAGTTGACCTCTTGACACGTACAACACTTAGAGTTTATCAGGCTGGAAAGAAAGAAAGAATGAAGACCATGACCTATCAATGCTTTTTACAAGCTTTAGTATTTGGCACCAGCAATTACAGACTCTTAAGTTCTGCCTGTTATTCCTCTGGCATCTGTGCCTAAAGCTCTCTGGTGTCTTCTGTCCTCCTGACCGGTTTGTCCCAGAAGCTCTCCTCTGAGTGGAAACCAGAGATCAGGCTCCCCTCGGGCAGCGACCATGTCATGCTCAAGTCCCTGGACTGGAATGCCGAGTATGAGGTCTACGTGGTGGCTGAGAACCAGCAGGGAAAGTCCAAGGCAGCTCACTTTGTGTTCAGGACCTCGGCCCAGCCCACCGCCATCCCAGGTAGGTGCACCTCTGATCCCCGTTAGTCTCCTGCTTTGAATTAATGCACACGTGCTGCATCCCTTAATGTGCCTGACACCCCGTGACAACTCGCTTGCTTACGGCCATCCTCATGATCGGTTGCCCATGCAAAGCTTAATTTGCTTTGTACCTACTATGCAGTGGGTTGAGATGTACCGTTCCCCTAGGAAAGGTCCTGCTTTGAAGGACTAACGCCAGACTGAACCCTCAGATGGGAAGACTCCCAGCTCCGGCCTAGTCTTGGAAGCTGATTGAGTCTGGATCCTTTTTGGGACATCTAATCTGCCCTCTGCTATTTCACCCCAGGGCCACCTAACTGTTGCCGAGGGCTTCCTATCTGATGCTTGCTTCTCCGCGCAACTGTGGTCCAACCCTCTTCTCTGTGGTAACCCCAAGAGAAGAAAGAGATGGTGCCCAGTGGGTTAGACATCGTATCTGCCAGGGGCTTCTCATTTGAGACAAAATCAAATTGAGCCACTTGAAATAGAACAAGTGGAGAGCATAGATGTTGGAAAACACCATCGATTAAAGGCAATCCAGTCGGCTCGAGACTGTGAAGGGAGCCAAGATGCAGATCTGTCTCTTGGGATCCAGGAACAGCTCAAGTGTGGGAATAAAGTGAGAGTTCTGATTTCTGGCCCAGCTACCATGTTGCCGGTAGCCATTCTCTTCAGTGACCAAATCCTTCAGGACCAACAGATGTCTTCAATATCCATCTCTGCTGTTCTAGCCAAGCCAGAGAGGTGGACATAGACTATAACTACAGCTTGGAGGAGGTAGCCCTGTGACAGCCCCAGTATGGTAGGAAGATGGCCTGTTTCAAAGGTCCTGGGTTCGATCCCCCACCCTGCCTACCCGGTCTATAGTGCTTGCCCAGGCTCTTGGCTCAGTTGTCGTGATTGCTCCACTGGGGCGGAGGAACAGGCCAGCAGGGATGTGGGCTGTCGACCACGGAGGCCATGCGTGTGAGACGGGCTCAAACAGCACCCAAGCAACAGAGAGTTCAGTGTGTGTGGTGCGCTATGGCCGTTTGTGTGTGAATGAGCACGCCTGAGGAATGTGTGGGGACCTGCAGAAAGGTGGCAGGTCATTTCTAAGCCACAGGCCAGAGCATGGATTTATCCTCACCTTTGCATTGTCAGGAAAGCTCCCTAGAACGTGCTAGGATCTCCGCAGGGATTGGGCATATGGTCCACAGTGAAGGCAAGTCTCGTGGATGTGACTGTAAAAAGGACTTTTCCCATTACTGCTTAACAGCATATCCAGGTGAGGGTGGCCCCCATTTGCTCCAATCCTTGCCTTCTCTGCACCCTCCGGTGAGTTTTGAAATGAAGAGTTTGTTATGATTGTCCAGATCCACTTGCCTTTATGGGACAATGCTTTGGAGCTGGGGCATGGAGAGGCTGGAGTAACTGCTTTGCAGGTAGACAGATGTCTCACCTTGTTCCCCCGGGGAAGACTCAGTTGGCAGGCAGGCCTGCAGGGCACGCTGTATGTCCATGCTGGGTGCCACCAGCACGTCAGGGGTTTAGAGACAAGGGGAGAAGATGTGTCAGAGAGACAGGAATTCTGGGGGGACCTTGTCCTCATTGTCGTACCACTGGCAATGGCAGAGTCTTTCTTGTTGGGCCTCATCCCCACGCCTTCCTGAACAGGGTGACTCTGCACTTGACTGGACTCTCCTGGGCGTTGTGCTGGGATCTGGGAATGAAACCGGCTGGTTTACGGTGGAGTACTGTGATAGGTGCGCTGGTGGAAGGTGATGGCAGAGTAGTGCTAGGGACCGGGAACTGGGAAATAGGATGAACAGTCTGGTTTCTTTCTCACTGGCAAGAAAGCACCTCCGTGTGATTTGCTCGCACGTAGAGTAGTGGTCAAAAGCATTTCCACCACCACGTGGAAGTGAAAAACAAAACCCAACAGCGATGCTCAGAGCCTAGGAGACCATGGCTTAGCCTGCTGGCACCCCGAGAGAGGTTCTGCCTTAGTGGAAGGGAACACTCTCCTCGCCAAACTCTCCTTTTACTGCAGAGGCTTCTGTTCTCTCACTTTAATTTCATTTGCTCGCTGACCCCTAACCCTCAAATTAACCCTGCTGTGCTGCTTCCGGCATTGCTGAGCTTCTGAACCGGCCTGATGGTATTGATTCCGCACTGAACTCTCCTCTAACTTTTGTCAGTTGAATTTACTGAATTAAATTAACCTTGGATTCTTGCATTTTCTGTATTTGACCTATTTTTTCTTTTTATCTTATTTTTTTTCTCTGTTTCTGTCTCTACCTTCTCTTTCCTCCTGCCCCCTCCCTCCCCTTCCTGTGTCTGCCGTCACACATGTCACCTTGGACGTCACCGGGACATCCCCACATTTGTTTTCAAACAACCACATTCTGTCTGGGGACCCCTGGTTTTGGCACCTGCAGCAACCTTGGGCGGCTCCTCTGCCTCCTACACCTTTGTCTCATTGCTTTTCTCCGCAGTTATTCTTCTCTTGCTATGCTAGAAACTTGGAAAAGAGAAAAAAAAAAAGCCAGTTGCTTACAAAAGGCCAGTTCCTTATGAGAATGATTAGTGCCCCCTTTGGAAGACCCTGCCAGGAGCACCCCGGCCACAGCCACAGAGCGCCCTTTCTGTGCAGAAGAGGAAGGTTTTGCAATTGGAAAAAGCTTTACCTCCAGATATTGTATTATTCACAGATGCGTTGATGCCACTTAGGAAGGGGCTTGCCCCCTTTTTAGCTGCAGTAAAAAAAAAAAATTATTCGAGAGCTCTTTTAACAGAAAAAAAATAACACAGTTTAAAAACTTACTGCTAGGTTTACAGAGAAGCATTTGCCTATATTGTGGCTTTTTTTGTCCTTTCCTAAAAATGACGTAGCAGAAGAAGATTCCCAAGCACCATCTAGAACTTGCATCCAAACGTTAAAGTCGCCTCCCGCTCCTTCATGATAACACCAAGCTCTCCGCTGCCCTTCCGCAGATAGCTGGCTTTGCTTTCATTTAAGTGCCCACGTTAGGAGGCCAGAGTGCTACGCCTCTCCTAAGCGCCTGGCTGGCATGGCACGGACACATTTAAGTCATCCCATTGCCCGTGGAGTTAAACAACTCAGTTTTCTGGCCTTTTTCTGGGGCTGATGAAATATTCTGGGAAGCACCCTGGTCTTGGTGTCTAACATAGCCCCTGGCACGCGTCTCTGAACAGGGCCAAGCTGTGATGTGTCCAGCAGGCATTCAGCTTCACAGGTGCTCGTCCTCAGGCTGTGGTCACTGGCTGCATGTCTGTCCTGGATTCGCACAGAGCCTCCGGGTCTTTGGGGTCAAGGCCCAACAGCAACTCACGTTCCCACTCTAAGCATCAGCCTACGGGGCTGGAGGCATCCACTGTGAACCAGACGTGAGTCACACCACAGAGAATGGGCCGCGCCCAGACTGCCCGGCCCTAGGATCAATCTGGACTCGGTCCTCCTGGCAGGACTTCCCAAATGCCCCAGCCTCCCGTCAGTCAGCTGGCTGATGGGCATTTCTACAACGCTAAGAAATGCCAGCTGCTCCACTCTGCTATTGAGGAGTCATTGTCTCATGTGCCGAGGAGAGGAGTGGGGCGTGTTTGTTAAGGTGCCTCTTTGAGCCCAGGGCTGAATCCCGCTCAGTATCATCTGTGTATGTGTTTCGGGATGGGCCTGCTACAGAGTCAAACTCCCATCTCCATTGTGGTCACATATCATTCTACATATCTCATCTCTGAGCATCTCTGCAGAAGCTTGAGTTTGAGTCTCTTTTGGTTTATCTTTTTTTTCCTGTTATTTTTTTTTTTTAATGTTCAAAGACTAGTCAGCCACATTAGGCCTTTCCCTGTGGGAATCCCAGATAACCCCAAGTTGGTCCCAGGTCTGTGGGGCTGAGCGCATAGCTCTGAGCCCAGGCCAGCATCAAAGCGCTCCAGCGCAGGGCTGCACCCAGGTGCCAAGGACGAACCCCAGGTCAGCGCACACCTCTCTCCCAGCCCCTTGACCTCACAGCAGACCTGGGCAGTGTAAGTAGACATGGTTCTTGGACTCAGTGCAGGGAGGTCTCCTGAGAACATGGAGTCTCCTGGATCCAGTATTAGAATCACAGACCAGTGATCCGGAACTGTAAGGAGAGGTCCAGCCGTGCACTTCTGGCTCTCAGCATGTCCCTGTGAACAGCCTAGGCACTGGACACAGTATTCACCCCAGGAGAACTTGACTCAAGGGTCTCCCTCAGCCCAGGCCCCAGTCGCCCCACGGGGTGGGACAGTGTAGTATTTCTGAAGGGGCTTTTTAGAAATCTGGCCTCAAGTGTGGGAGGGAGGAAGGGGACACTGACATGACCCTGTCCCCTGAGCACATCCCAGTGACCAAGTAGACCTCCGCTGGACCTGCTTAGGGGTCACTGCTATGGGGCCATTCAACAAGCCCCATGGTTCGTCACCAAAGCCCTAGGGGAGACAGTATTAGTGTCTCCACACTGTGTTTTGTGAAGGTGAGCCCCTAGCTCCACAGGAATCCTTACCACAAAGGCTCTGGAAAGCCCTGCAGGAGTGAGCACACCCCACTTCCCAGCTCCCTCACCCTGCCACCTCTGCGCCCTGCATTAGCGCTGCCACCGCCACAGGCCACGGGGCTTTCTGCTTGTTTGGGGATATTTATACTGCAGGTTTGGATCACATTTTTCTACTAATAAGAATGCTAACACATTGTTGTGTAGATAATCAGCGAGGCCTTTATGACGTTTACACCTTTGCATTATTAAAGGAAATAACCGTTCATGTGAACTCATCAACGTGTTTTGATTTTATTTGATAATGGTGTGCTCCACGAAGTATCGGAAATCCTTTCTCTCCACTTCACGTGCACCTGGTTGACTTTTATTTAAATTGAACCCCAAAGCTATAAAGGCTATAGTCTGATGAATGGGATTCTAGCCAAAGGAAATACTTTCTAACGTGGAACAATATATTTTT